CATGCATTGTTCATGTTGTTGTTGTTGTTGTTGTTGTTGTTGTTGTTGTTGTTGTTGTTGTTGTTGTTGTTGTTGTTGTTGTTGTTGTTGTTGTTGTTGTTGTTGTTGTTGTTGTTGTTGTTGTTTCTTTATTTTACTTCACCATATGAGCAGGCAAGACTGCCTTCTCACCGGGACCATTGGCCCACGGCTCTCACAATATGATGAAAAATGTTTAAAATGTGTATGAAGAAGAAAGGAACGAAAAGAAGATGAAAGGAAAGGAAAGAAAACAGTAGTTATTAATTGTATGAAGGGGAGGGGGTATGAAATGGGCATGTAGATCTACATGTACACTGACATTGCCGGTATGATGAGCCTCTTTTATGGGCGGAGAAAACACAATTTGCCATGGTGGAAGTTTGGAGCACAACTCACATACTGAAACAATTGCAAGAAAGGTAGGTTGGGGTAAACATTGAGGACTCTGCTCAAACACAGCAGAATTATGCCGCGGAAGTGAGTACTGAGATAGAAGAAAAACGTGTGCACTACTGGCAAACTAGCATTCTCAAAGAAAAGAAATTTACTGTGAGAAGTGAAATCATGTCACCTAGCACTGAGTGCACTAGTGTTAAACCGTGATTACAATTTACATCACTGGAAACCATCACAGCCAACCCTCCGCATAGAGAAGCATCACGTTTCACACAGCATTGGTTTGCCACTCCAGCACCATCTCAGAACACTTAGCTGATTGCTTCTGTCTCAAAGAAGCATGGGCGGATTTCAGAAAGGCATGCACTGATGATGTCAGGTCGGCAGGGGTGATGTCAACGCAATGGCTTGGTACAGGATCTGTGGTGGCACTTTCGTCAACTAATACTTGACAAGCATCAGAAAGGGTGGACATTACAATATTGGAGTAAGCCTACTACAGTGCTGCTCAATGAAATCCAGTCACGTGATCACTCAAGTACACGCCGGGCGTTGCGCAGCCCTAGACCTGCGAACACTGGGCTGCGAAATGGTGCAAGGCGCAAACTTGAGTGACCCTAGTCACCCTACTGGATTTCGTTGAGCAGGACGATAGAGTATAGTATCTGGACTAGTGCCATAACAGCACAGTACAGCTGTACTATGAGGAAGTGGCAGCTGCACCAGCAACTCAGTCAGTGTGTCAACATGTCAAATTCCTGCTACATGTACATAATCATTGTACATCATGTATGGTAGAATCCAGCCTTTCCAGGACGTCAGGTCAGGCTGCTCTGTCTCATAGTATTCAGTCATTACAACCATGCACGATGACGTGCGCGCGTGGCTCGGCCGAGGCAGTGATCCAGTACTGACTGTACAGTCCAAGGGTTTCACGTGACTTTCATTATCTACTTGGGTCAGAGCACGTGCTATGACACGATGACATCCTGGCTATCTCTAGCTCTGGCGACCTCCTAGCCTAGGCCCGGGCTAGGCTCAGCTCAGGCTAGCTCTGAAAATGGGATAAAAGGGAATGTAATTTCCCAGTCATTCATTTTCGATTGATCGCAACAATTGCAAGAAGAAGGGAAAACTGTGACCAAAATTATTAGTTCTAGTTTCATCAAACAACAATATACGAGTCGTACCAGAAACAGCTGTACAACTTACTTTGAGCTAGGAATAACCAAGCGAATACGGAATAGCGGTAGTTATAAACATTCCAGTCAGGATGCCATTCGGAAAGACGTGCTCGCAGAAAGCCTCGCCAATAACAATGGTAACGGTATCATCATATCCCAGACAGAATGCAGCAGTCTATCCAACTCAACGGTCAGCCTATCCGACACAACAAGCAGCACCTGTAACAGCAGCTTCATCCAAGCCATTCGTTGAGCCGCCAATGGTTGCCCCAGTAGCTCCCTGCCCAGGACAGTGCCAGCTACCAATCCCAGCACAGCCCTATCCGCCAGCCTACGCCCCTCGCGAGTCGGACGCTCCTCCAGCATACCCTGGACTCCACAGTGCCAGCACCGGACCAGCATATCCTGTGGTGGCTCGACCAGTCGCATCCGCAAATACCGTAGCTTCTGTTCATGTTCTCGTAAAAGGCCAACCGACCGTTGTGGTAAGGGGCTGAGTCTGTACCAAAAACGGGGCATCATCGTGCATTTTGCGGACAAACAGATAACGATCACGATTATGAAATTTTCCCAAAACTGTCCCCAACCTCCTTCAAAAAAATTTTTTTTACATTGAATTGTTGGACCGTAGCAACAAGAGATCATTTTCCGATGTATAATGATGACATGTTGCAAGACGCTGCATTAATCCATTATGCTGAGGGCTACCACAATCTGCTCCTCACTGACTGGTCGGATTCTATGTCAGTTGTGTAGTTCAGAGTCTTCAGACTTCAGTTTATTGCAATCAGTCGTGCAGATAGCTTCTGCAAGTGCATGGATGTACTGTTATATCTCTATGCGGTACGGTCATCAGGACTCATAATAATTATGAGGAAGCCCTTCCATTTGAAATTGTTCAGTTTTCTTTTGTCCACCATATACCAGTACATGTACTTTTAGTCTGATTTTCGTGTTTTTGCTTTGCTTTTACCACTCTCACAGTTCGAGGCAGATGCAAGATTTGGTGGTCCAGGGCGTGGTGGAACATTCACAGTTCCGGTAAGACATATCGTATCGTATAGAATGTATTCAAATACGTAATACATGCATGCCCAACTGATGACTGTAATCTATTGGAACAACCTGAAATGCTCTCACGCAACGACAATCGAGTACTTCAGTAGTGTGTCATTGTGTTTGGATACTGGTATAAGATTAGCGAAGTATGGTGGGTGTGGTTTTAAAACTCAACACTTTGTTCTTTTCCCTTTTTGATATGCTCTGCAGCCACCACCACCCGGCTATCAGGCAACACATGCACAGCTGGCGGCTGCCAGTGGACTTGCGGTGAAAGTCGAGCGGAAGAAGACGACCTTTGTGTACGGTGGCGGAGATGCGGGCATGTCGTGGTGAATACGATTGCAGTAGGAACACCAACTCGACAGGTTGGTCAAGCCGAGGATGAGACACTGCCAGCGCTAGGCAGCCCCGCTAAACTAACACTATGTTCATGCATCTATCTCGGCTGGAAGCACACATCCATCGTTGTACCGGGCTCCCTTTGATATGATTCTTTGTCCAAGCTGAGTTACGTCTACTGATGAGTCTAGCCTTTATAACACCACTCAGTGTTGCATGCATGCACATTCGCCGTGCCAACCATATGCTATGACATGCTAACTTTGAGTACACGTTTTCAATGGCAAATTGGGCATGTGGGAAAACTTCCGTACATCAGCTGCTGAACACAATTGTAATCCCACACTGTAAAAATGTTCTTCTTGAAAACTTGATAACAGCCGCCATAATTCTGTTGTATTTTTTTTAAACAATGCCATCCCACATACGCTATCATCAGTGAAAAGGCAGTCACCACACACCTGACCACACATGCTGTATAGGCCAAGAACAATGACTGTTATCATACTTCATCACGGTATTATATTTATCACCGCAGCATTTTTTTTAATCCTAAAAATTATCAATACTCAATCCTCAAGTGATTGATTATGCTCTGATGTTCCACGGCATTGAGCAGGGATGAACAAGAATCCTGGAAAAGTCCAAAAAACACTATCGTGCTGTACACGATACTGTAACGTGTTGAGATGAAAGCTTGACTACGGCTTATGTCACCCTCCACCAGATCATGCAGCTAGCAGTGCTGTTAGAGCACTGCGTTCTTTTGAAAGAGCTAATCATGATGCAGCTCACCGCTGATCAAGGCGTGGGTCCCCTTCACTTGGTAGAGACCGAGTCGAGCGAGCTGTATTCCATGTCTAACCGCCAAGACGAAGTGAATACTGTACTGTGGTGTTATACTGGCCAAAGTTTGAAAAAAGAGATGTTTCCGCACAGTTCTGCCATTAATCAAATGGGGCGATGTGGAGCAGTCCTGCATGGGATAATTAGGCCGGTGTGTACGCCATGGATGGTGATGTGTGTGAATGCGATACATGATCATTATCAAGGTTCTAGCCAGGTCAAAATAGTAGGGGGGGGGGGCATGGGAAACAGTTACCCCGTATCCCATTTTCCACTTTCCAATATTGTCTTGCCACGCTAAAGGCAATGTATGGGGCGAATCCCCGACTTCGCCCCAGACAAATGTGCCTTTATGAACCATCTAGTTGTGACTTTCGACTGCATTTTCATTGAATTGCATGAAAAACACGAAAATCGGAAAATGAGTAGGGGCGGCACTTTTTCACCGGGGGCGCACAGAGCAGGGGGGGGGGGACGCTGCACCCCCCCCCTTGGCTAGAACCCTGATTATGCAGTTCAAAAACACTAACTTCAAGTACATGTATCCGGGTCACGACAGTCCCTGATCAGATATTGGTATTGCATATGGTTCCCTTCGGGAACGGACACGATAATTTACTTTTTTTATGGCCGTCAGAAGCAATGTTTCAATTCGTCCGGCTTTGCCCCAAAGGCGTAGTAAACTCAGGAGGATAGCTTCGGGAATAATCACCCCAGCGGTGCCTAGCGGGGCCTGATCCTATTGTGGTGATAGCGACCTCGCCTATCATTTTATAAGGAAGTTGGATGCTGCCATATGTACACGCCAGCTCCAGTGTCACTGTGGGAACATCCAATTCATGCGTAGAAACAATGGCTTTGAAGTTTTACAGCGTGCACCAGATGTACCCGGCTAAGTCTGGGTATGTAGGCCACTCTTCGGTATAAACAAAACACAAAGCAATGAGTTGTTTGATACATATAATAACTAACTCAGCTAACATGAGCTGTGTGTGTAGCAGACTGTCCAACCTCATGGCCGTCCCAAATCTGGACACCCTTCAAAGCCGTTCTTTATTTCTCTTTTTTTGTTTACTGAAAAGATCTGAACGAACCCAGAGTGATACAAGTGGGCATGAAATACAATCAGTCAATGTGTACACCGACTGCTATTGGTTGGTAATAGTAAATTAGGGTTCTAGCCAAAGCCCGGTATAAAGGAAGGGGGGGGGGACGCAGTGCCCCCTGTGAAAAAGTTCTGTCCCCATATGTCGATTTTGTTTTTTTGGTTTTAGGACATTCAACGAAAAATGCAGTCGATAGTCACTAACAGACGGTTCATAAAGGCACACATGTCTAGGGCGAAGGCAGAGTCCATACGTTGCATTTTGCACAGCAAGACATTTTGGGGAAATGGAAAAAAGAAATGGTTTTCAGGGTAACTGTTCCCCTTGCCCATCCTAGGCCTTGACGGATTATGCTAGCATAATTTTTCGCATAATTCCTACCAAAATCGAATAATCGCATAATTCGAGGCAAATTGCATACGAATCGCATAAATTGGAATAATCCGCCTGTTCGCATCAAATTCCATACAGTTGTACATGTTCTACAAGTACAAGTACAAGTAGATGCACCAGGAAGTCGTAGGTTTACGACTCCCTTGATAACATGTCCAGTCCACTACAATCAGTGACGGTCGTAGCTACAATTGTAGGTCGGACGGCACGTTGACCCCGTTGAACTTTTGCTACTACAGTACAACGCCCTATACAAAAAAAAAACCCTGTTATTTTGCACAGAAGCATCATATACATTAGCAGCATATGTGAGCATAATGCGGCATAATATGATAACTTTTAGCATAAAAATAGCATAATTCTGCCATTTTTTCAGCAATGCGAAAAGCATAATTTCACGAAAATATTAGTATAATCCGTCAAGGCCTAGCCCATCCCTACTATTCTTCCCTGGCTAGAATCCTGTAAGTGGACTGTAGTCATTATATTATGACTGTAGTCATTATGTTATGACTGTAGTCATTATGATTGTTGCATTAGCAATACAAGTATAATCTTACCGTAACAATCTTACACCTAACGTTACTTCCTGTCTACTGCACAACATAATGATTACAAACTTACTGTTTCAGCTAACAAAAAAAGCGGGACAAAGGTGTCAATATCTCATGAAATCTGGACAAAAGGCAAGATGCAGGACATTTTCTCTCAAATCTGGACTGTTACTTGATGTTGGGACGAGGTCGGGACGGTTGGAGTGTAGCTATGCAGCTAGCTATGCCCCATGACACTGATAATGACTGACTGAGTCAAGACAAGACGTCAAGAGTGAATCGATCCATATCATGCGTGGGTTTTGCACGTGCAGGCATGCGCACGCGTTGCATAATGACGTAAGTATACCTGCTAGATATCCTACATTTTTGTAGCGATCTTTTTCCAGGATATAAAAGGGCCAGCCGGCCTGATGAGATCGAGATATATAGATAGGGAAAGCTAAAAAAATTGGAGCTACAGCTGAGCCTGGAAAAAAGTAGACGCTAAACGACTAAAACAATCAGTGATTGATAAGAGCTAAGCCGGAGATAATCGTGACTTCTTGGTCAATACGACAAAAGCCGCCGTGGAAGACCAACTAATTTCATACTGTCTGTGACCACGATTTTTGACAGTGCAACGGCATAAATCTACGACAAGTCACTGGCTGTTTGAGCAGTACTGTAGTACATAGCCAATACACATTAGTCGCATTACCTTGTTCAATCACGGTCACACAGGATTAGCGAGAACTTCCCGAGAAGGCACATAGCGGCGATCGCCAAGTAACTAGCAACGATTCAGAATGCCGTTCGGAAAGAAGAAGCAGAGCTCGGAGAAAGCCCCACAGGGTGGAGGGTATCCGACGCAGGCGAGAGCGGCTTATCCGACACAACAGGCTGCAGCACCCTATCCTGCCCAAGCTGCTCCGGTTGCTGCTGCACCATACCCAGCAGCGGGCGGTGCTCCCTATCCTGGGCAAGCTGCTCCGGTTGCTGCTGCACCATACCCAGCAGCGGGCGGTGCTCCCTATCCTGGGCAAGCGCCAGTTGCTGCACCAGTCGCGCAGCCCTATCCTGGAAATCCGTCAGGTCCTGCTGTTGCGGACGCTCCTCCAGCATATCCAGGACTCCCCGGCCCTGCAGGTCAGTCAGCAGCACCCGGCCCGGCTTACCCGCCCGTGCAAGGGGCAGGAGCAGCAGCCCCGCCCGTAGCTCAGCCTGTACCCGCTGGAGCTGCCCCCGTAGCACAGCCTGCACAGATACATGTCATTGTGAGTACGAGCGTAGTGACACTGACTGTGATTACAAGTATCGTGTAGCCCTGCTTTGAAAAACCCTCCATCCAAGGTTGGATGAGTAATTCGAAAAATAACATAAAAAGGATTCATTGTCCTTTGACCCCACATCAATACTATAGAAATAAACCCTACTGCAAGTTAGGCCTGGACCAAATATGCTAAAAAAAAGAGGATATTATGCTCGTCACATATCAGGGTAAACGTCCATAATACCGTAAAATTCCGTAAATAAGCCCACCCTAAATAACGCCCATGTCCGATAATAAGCCCAGTTTTAGACGGTGTACACTTCAAGTCCGTTTTAGCGCCCATGCCCGAAATAAGCCCAAGGCGTAAAGTGGACTCACAATGACCAGCGCGCGAGCGTGCGTTCGCGTACAAACTGTAGAACTGTCAGTTGTAGATCGAGTGCGTGCCATCCAACTGCACGCAGCACAGGGCAGAACTCAACACTGTCACTTACCATAGCAAGTGGTTTACCTATCAAATCTGTAATTTATCGCTACATTCTTGGTTACGACCAAATTTCCAGCTGTGGTTTGATGTACATGTACCTGTACTGCGCTCAGTGTGAATGGTTGTTCACTGAAACTAGTGGGTTGCTGATAGATTGATCTTCTGCAGATTGCGTCCGAAATAACGCCCATGCCCTAAAATAAGCCCATGCCCAAATATACGCCCGGTTTTTGACGCTCTGCAAAGTATACGCCCGGGGCTTATTAACGGAATTTTACGGTATGCCAAAGGATTAGCAAGATATGCAAAAAGATATGCCAAAATACGCTTGACATAAGCGGAAAGTGTAGATCATTTCAGTAAAATTACAACCTTAGCGATGGGCTGGTTGGCGATCGCGAGGCGCGGGTGTTCCAGTTAGTATAGTAGTATTCTTTTATTTATAGTGGAGAAACTGACTTGAAGGTGGCCAGTTTGGTGACGCCTCAGATATCCGTTCTCGTACACCTTGCAACATCGCACAGCTATGCATATGCTTGACCCTTGCCTACTATAGTACATGTCAGTGCCATTCCAAATTCATCCATAAAAGGCATTTCTGAACGCATTTTGTCCATGATATGAATGTTTTGTCCTCATTTTCTTCAGAATAAAAAAAAAAAAATAAAAATAAAAAATATTTGAATTATATGCTGGCTTCATTCCAATATTCCCTTTGCCGCTCAATATGCCATATGAACTGTCTCACAAAATATGCGGAAATACGCGCAAGCACATTTTGGTCGAGGCCTACTGCAAGTTGAACGGTTGTTTTGGTTGCGGCACTAGTGTAAGAATGAGCAGTAAGTTGGTAAGTCATTGCTGACTACGTGCAATGCACTCACATGCTGCTGCCGCTGCTGCCCTGTCCGTCCCCACTGATTGGCAGATTATTTGCTATCACCGCCGCTGTAGTGGTCACAAACATGTTTTTTTTGTGCTGCGCAATGAAATCCGATCGCACGAGTGGAGTACGCACCGAGCACTGTGCAGTTTGTTTCTTCTTTTCATCTCTTCTCTTTTGTGACAGTGTCGCGGCTGATATTCGTATTCGATGTTGGTATTGGAGAATGAATAAAATTGAACAGAAATCCAGTGAGGCCTTTCCGTTCCTCTTCAAAATCACACCCTGTATTGTTGTTGTTGGTTGTGTGTTTCCCTTATCTCACAACTCTCCAGCAAGCAGCACCGGCACATTTTGAAGCTGGCGCAAGGTTTGGCGCTGCAGGAAGTGGTGGGAGCGTTAGTGTCCCGGTAAGTTTGCTATTTGTCTTTTTGAAATGAGAAAAGAAAGTTGAATGTTTTCACCTTGAGGATGGGCTATGCGCGAAAATTTGGTGAATTCTATTATTTATTCATTTTGAAGTGACGTGTGCAGCGAAGAGACCGTATTTGGAAAGTTCGAGTTCAGGTACCCTAGAGAAAAGAAAGTATCATTTCAAGTATTGTGTCAGTTTGCTCCTTTGCACCGTCCCTCGTGTTACCTTCAGCACCCGCGGTCATGAGTCGTCTTTTAGGGTGAAACGAATACACGGAGCAGTGGCAAAAAATTATTTGCCACTGCTCCGTGTATTCGTTGTATTCAATATCCTATTGATCAGGACAGCTACAGCTGTAGTACACAGTCTGTACTCCTTAGATGAGTGATATAATTATCGGTATGGATAGAGTCAAACACAGGTCATTACTCCACTACCGTATTTCCCCGTAAGTAAGTTCTCCCCAATGACTTAGTACCCCCCCCCCCCCTATAAAAAAATACACTTTCCACTGCCGAGGTTATCACCCCGAAAGACAGTTCCCCCCCCCCCCCGAAAGATAGTAAGTTCGTACCCGTCCTACATTATTATTATTATTATTTCACAATCACGATGACATAGTGCCAATAAGCATGTGATGCGGGCGATTTTAACCAGCCATGGTGGGGACAACTGAGAAAAAGAAGGAGAAGAAAAAGAGAAAACAAAACAAAAGGAGTACTATAGGAACCTGGAGAGAGCAGTATGAAGATTAGGCTAGCAATGGAAAACAACGAATTCAATTCAATTCAACTTAGGCGCGGGCAGAATGGAACAAAATGCAGCGAAGGTGTCACGAGACTTTACCTTCTGCGGAAGCCGAGACCAATGAGAATAGGACTTGAACAGAGGGGATTTTAAAAGGATCGATGACCTGGCAAGTGGGAAATGGAGAGAACATCTAGTACGCGAGCTATTATTGAACCAGCTTAAATGCGCAAGTGCATGAGGAGGAGCAAGTTGAAGCTTAATACGGTGAATGAATTTGCATGCCGAGTGGGGAAAGCGTTCTGAGAGAGGGGAAGAGGAAGCCAAAATGTATAGCGTCTGAGAGGAGGTCAGAGGGGGCATGCGAAATATTAATCGAAGTAATTTATGGTGGGTGACTTCTAACCGATGCATAAGAGCGGAGGATAGACCGGAGGACCAAACGAGAGAGCAGTAATCAAACAAAGGAAGAACATAAGAGTGATAAATTTGTATTCGACAACCATGGTGTAGATGGGAGATGTGAGGAGAAATGCAGCCTATCGCGGAGCAAACTCGCTTTTCAATATAGGTTACGTGCGAATCCCAGGACAAGTGTTCATCAAGAAATATACCAAGGTGTTTGTGATTTTTAACAATGTTGATAGCAATGGGATCATCAGGGAAAGTAAAAAAGCCGAGTCGTAAAGAGGGTGAGGTCACTGGAGGGTCGTGGGGGGATACAAAGGATTGCCGTTTTCGACACATTGGGGCGGAGTTTCCACTTCGACATCCAGCGCACAACTTGATTAATGTGATACTGTAGCGAGTCGCAGGCTTGCAATAAGCCTGGCTCGGTTATATGGAGCGCTGTATCGTCCGCGTAGAGTGAGGTATGATCCAAACCTGCCAAATCATTAACGTATACGATGAACAATAGAGGCCCCAAGATAGAGCCCTGGGGCACTCCAGAGTGGACTGTTAGTGGGGCGGACAGGGCATGTCCAATTCGGACACTCTGTCGCCGTTCAGTGAGATAGCTGGTGAGCCACTGCAGACACGTCCCGGCTACGCCAAACGCTGCTAACTTATGGAGGAGACCCCTTGTCCAGACAGTGTCAAATGCTTTGCTCAGGTCGAAAAAACATAGGAGGCTAAATTGCTTCTGATCCTTGCATTCATAAAGCTTCTGCACAAGCCTCAGCAACTGCCAGGCGGTCGAATCGCCTCGCCGAAATCCAGACTGACGGGTCAAGGACCGGGTTCACATGGTGGTATAAGTGGCCAAATGCCACACGTTCACAGAGCTTTGAAATGGTGGAAAGGAGTGAGATCGGCCGGTAATTGGATGCAGACAGTTTACTGCCTTTATTCTTGTAAATAGGCACAACCACAGCTGCCTTCCAGATATCAGGGAAGATTCCGGTGGCGAAGGACTGGTTGAAAACTAGGCTGAGAGGGATAGCTATACTAGGAGACAGGGCTTTTAGGAGTTCATGGGATATGCCATCTGCACCTGCCGCCTTCTTGGGCTTTAGGCGACGGATGTGTTGGGCAATGGCGGTGGGAGTAGTGCTAAAAGAGGGTAGTGCTGGGAGCCCGTGGTGTGGAATACCAGGGAGAGACCATGCAGGATCATCCGGTGTTCCAAAGCTGATGAATTGGCGATTCAGAGCATTGGCAATCTGGGTAGGGTCGTTGTGTACAGTGTTATTTTCATGGAGTTCAGTGATGATAGGGTTTCCAACAGGGGTCGGCGAACGAAGCTGCTTAACAAACTTGAACAAACTAGGGGTGGATGCAATAATGGATGAGGGGTTAGTGCTAATGGAGGACACAAACTGGCGGTGAGCCTCTCTAGATAGGATTCGTGCTCTGTTACGTTCGCACTTGTAATGCTCGTGATTGCTAGGGGTAGGATACTTGCGATACAAGCTGTACGAGTCTCGCTTCCTCTTCAGCTGAGCTTTAACAGCACGTGTCAGCCACGGGGGACTTGGTGTACGTCGTCTAGGGGCTGAAGAGCGCGACCGGGTGGGTAGGAAAGCGGAACATAGACCATGAAGGATGTCATAAAATGCTGGAGCAGTACGGTTTGGATCTCCAAGCTTCAACTGGAGAGCAGCATGCCAGTTCAAATTAGCAATGGATTCATTTAGAGCAACTAGGTGAGTGGGAAGAATGGAGGAGATGTCAAACTGACTGAAGTCAGGTATCTGGAAGGAATGGGAGGGCAGTGTAGTGTTGGGTGCAGGTGGTGATGCGGTACATGTCGGGATGCACAAACGGCCGAGAACAATTGAGTGGTCCGACTGACCGAGAGGGGCTGAGGGGCGCGGATCGCAGATGCTGGCTGCAGTGTCAGTGATCATCAGGTCCAGTGCAGCCTCATTGCCTTTGTGGGAGCGGTGGGTCGAGAATGTGACGTGTTGCTGCAAGGAAAACATGTCAAGAAGACATGAAAGGTGGTGGCCTGCAGTGTCTGTTGTTGTTCCATACCAGGTGGAACATTGAGCATTGAAATCTCCCATGATGAGGACTGGCGAGCCAGGGGTCCGTATTTTAGTCAAGCAGCTTTGAAATGAGGCGTAAAAGTTATCTGTCACCGACGGGTCGGTGGACGGTGGGCGGTAGACAGCCGCAATTTGGATGGGCTGCTGGCGCGTGGGGCAAGCAGAGGTTCCAGTGGATGGCGATATCTCTACCCAGGTAGCTTCGAATTGCGGAAGATGTAGGTCTGTACGGTGGGTAATAAAACCAAATGCACTTGATTTTACTAAGATAGCAACACCGCCATAGGCCAGGAAGTCGTTGGTGTTTATTTTATTCTCGGAGGTGGGTCGATCCCTTCGAAAACATCCATAGCCTGGGAAGGAGAGAGAAATTTGTGGACACAACCAGGTTTCAGTTATGCTAACAACAAGGGGACAGCTGGTCGTGAGAAAGTCGGATAGCTCAGCAGATTTGTTTCTAAGGGAACGTGCATTGATACAGGCTACGGGAAAGGAGGCTAGGGGCGTTGAAGGATAGAAGGGTGTTGCGTTAGGGTCAAGTTGAGGTGTTGGTTTACTCATTGTTCAGATTCAGCCTGGTCAGTGTGGAACCTCCATTTCCGGATACTAATTTTGTCAGGCCAGAAACCAGGCCCTTGGATCTTGTCTACACAGGTCTCTCCCACAACCAGGTGGGCATAAGCTGTACCAAAGTACCGTGATTCTGAGATTGAGCAGCGAAAAACTTCGACATCTTTCTTTTTACACCACAGTTCAATTGAGGCAGCATCGCATCCAAGGTCTACATTGCCAAGGTAGAAAGCCGTGCGCTTCACCCGCTCCACGCCCTGAAGGTCAGTGCGTTTGGTACGGGCTGGCTCTTTTGTGAACTGGCTTGTGATAGTGCGTTTCAGTGGACTACCGGTAGTGTTGGTGTCGGCTTGTGCAGGGCGGCGGCGGTGTGGGTTTTGCCACCCATTGTCGCTTGTGCTTGTATCTTGCGTTTGAGGTTTGGCGGGCAGGTCAGGTCTGGCCGTTGGGGTACTACTTCTTGTAGTAGTACGTGTACTACCGTCCGTGCTGGTGTGTGTGCCTGTTGGTGAGGCAGCTTTCCTTGCAGTGCTACTGTACAATTTCTCTTGGTCAGTGCAAGCTGGGGACGCTACGGGTACGGGATTTGTGGACTGCATTCTCTCTACTACTCCCTTCAGTTGAGCAACTTCTACTTGCAAGGAGACAATGGCGTCTGTCTTGCTCGTTCGAAGACATTCTATTTCTGAAGCCATACCTTTTATAGTCTCGTTAAGCAGCTGAAAAGTGGAGAGCAGGTCGCTTACCATTTGGTCTGGTGACTTCCGTATTCCTAGTCCTTCCTTGCGAAGGGCAACAACCAAGTCTTGTCGGCCCATTGTCTCCGGGTTGGTCAGTCCTGTAGCTCGGGAAACTGTGAGCAGCTCCTCGTATGTCAGCAGAGCTAAGTCCATATCTTCGTTAGTCGCCATATTATTGAGTCATACATCAACACTAGAACAAATCAGTGTAGGTGCGGTCCTGCCGAAGGCAGCTACACCGGTGAAACAAACTCGACCGCGGAGCGCAAAAACTTGCATCCGCACTCTAGATTATAAATTCACCATACATGTACAGACACCGTACAGTACATACATCATATGCACGGACACTAGAGTTGCGCAGGCTTCCCACTGCGTGTCATTTACCCCCGATAAAAAAGTACTCCCCGAAAGATAGTACCACCCCCGAAAGTTAGTACTCATGTGGCTGCTAAGTTCGAAAGTTAGTACGTACTAACTTACGGGGAAATACGGTATTGCACTGACTTCATGCGAGTTGCATGCTTTAGGATGATCACCTGCATGCTGTAATCATGACTGCATGCAGTATCGGTTACACTACACGGCACACAATGTGACATACCGGTAATAATCAGCAGATGTACATGTAAATTAGGGAACAAAGGATCGTACCGAGTACTCATTCGTGAGCTAGAGTGATCGTTACTGATTGTGTTCGATAAGAGATCGTTAGTGGTGCATATATGTATACCTGGTATACGCACGATAATTACGTGCCTAGAAAAAGCGCAAGTGCCAATTCCGGCAGTACAGTTACTGAGTACCTGTAGTGACTCCTATGCAACATAACAGTAGCTCTTTGATCTTTTTGTCCTGCACTTATTTTGAGTTTGAAACGTCCCCTGTACATTTAAAATGTGCTTCGAAGTACTCTTGTTCTCACTTATAGGTACAGTTGTAGAGTAGTCGATAGCTCGATCGTTACCACAAATACTCGTTCGTTAGCTAAAGAGTAATCGTTTGTTCCCTAATATAAATACTGTAGCACTGAAGTGTTTCTGTACTAGAATCGATTAATTATTCACTGCAATCACGTGCACACATGCATGCCTGCATGCATGTGTGCAAGTGATTGCATGCTGCACCCCGTGCTTCATGTCACATTTTCCTGAGTCATTGTCGATGTTTTGTTTGCTCTGTAGCCTCCACCGCCGGGGTATGCACCGAATGTAGCACAAGTGGCAGCTGCTTCTGGCCAAAATGTCCAGGTGCAACAGAGGCAAGGAACGATCTTCGGTGGCGGCGGAGATGCTGGCGTGTCGTGGGGTGGACTGTGAACATGGATGCTGGTTCTCCGACAATGCTGTAGTCATCATTGTGCGGTGCTGGCTTCAGTACTGGCCAGTGCTTGGGACATCACCGCGATCGTGAACCACGAGATTATACTATTATGAAACCTTTCCCGCTTTAGCGCACCTGGTGTGTGTAGCAATGTTCTTTTCCCTCACTTTCCATTTCAAGAATGACCAGAGAGTGATGAAACGAAGGTGTGTTAGTACTCCCCCGATTCTGACCTTGGTTATTCCGCCCGGTGCTGACAACCTCGTTGCATTCAGGGGTCACTGATAAAATGGCGTTGAACTGGTCTGCATGGGGTATCTAACCGTATGACTGTACTCATCAACTGAATATTCAGACTCAGCAGAGCACCGCGTATTAGTCTCTTTTTTTTTAAATTTGCAGTTGCCACGGAGTGATACGGTACACAGTACGTCAACTTCCAATGTTTTCTGTATAAGCTGTTACAAAATACAAACTTTCGAGGTACACCTATCTTTATGCTATTAAACATACTATCTTCTTTCTTGTCAATGGAAGAGAGTGTGTAGGCTCTACTCTGAACTGTTTATGAAACTGCAGGAAGCCTCCCCACTTTTCGTGACTTAATCTTCTTTCTTTCAACGGTTATTGATGATTGAACATAGAGCGTGACGCAGTGTACATCCACTCCGAGGTTCACAATTCTTCGGCAGGGACCGACTCAATTGTGTGAATGATTGACAGTGTGTTGATATGAAGTTCCGGCTTCACTCGCTGATCGCTGGCACAATTGGGTGGTCTCTGCCAGCATGATGGCGGTGACTGCTTCTAGCTCGCGTTCTATATGCACCGTTGTAGAAACCCTTGCACCGTGGGAAGTGTTTGCTGTTTCCAGGGTAGGTGCATTGCCGCTGAATTTGCACGATAGGTCTAGAAGTATTTGCAAGTTGTGAACTAATACACATGTAGAAGTCTTCAGTTCTCCAACTCCCAAACTGACCTCTTTACTGCGAATCATTCTACATTCAGAACTTGAAACCCCCAAAACCTAGTTTTGGGTCGGACAACCAGGTCATTTTCACGGATAAAGAGCCCTCCGCGTCACGCACCATGATCTGTTTGCACATGGAGCCTAGTCCATGCATGGTAGGTGATAACACTGAGCTATACACATGTAGCTGCATGGCTGGTACATCTGTTAGTAAAATGGTGGTGAGAGAAGAAGCACTCTTTGCCAGAACTTTGCAGTTTTTAGAGAGCCGGTTGTGTGGACAGGAGAGTATTTGCCGCCAACAGCATTCACCAGTAGTGTTGTGTTTTACCATTAAATTTCTCTTCTACATGATCGTATTTTTGTGGGTGGAGCATGCACCAAGGACAGAGTGTCACCTCCCAAATTCCACGCGCATGAGCTACTGAAATATGTACTTCGAAGTACAGTGCATGTACGTACATGGATTGATGGAAGCGATTCTGTCAGAAGTCGACAAATAACGACTTCTGGGTTTGTAATGACAGTACACTCGGACGTCTCTTATCCGGGCACCTTGGGACCGGGCACTGCCCGTATCTCAGATTTGCCCGTATCTCAGGATAACTCAGCTACTATGTATCGTATCATTTGTGAAGAAGTTTATTTTGAACGTATTGCACATGTTCAGGATACAAAAGGAACCGATTGATAAAAGTGGGTGAATTACATAGGTTGGCAATGAAAAATAAGCACTTCCACATACGGAAAAAAAGTTCAAAACCCCCAAATTCGAAGCATTTGTGCTATAGGACCTCAAGCTGAAGGTGCCCGGTAGAGAGACGTGCCCGTATCTGAGGCGTCCGGATAAGAGGCGTTTGAGTGTATTCGTAAACTCACCAGGATCATAATAATACCAAGAGTATACCCCCCCCCCCCCCCCCCAAGAGTGTGCAACTCTGCATATGGGGTCTCCGACCAGTCCGACGGCGAAAACTCACATCACGTGTCTCAGATACCTTTGTACTACGTACAAACGTAGGATAGCGTGCGCGCAATCCGAAAATCTGCCGTGATCATGCTGGGGATTTGCATACGTGCAGTGAGTTTCTGTCAGAGAGTGCTTTTTTTAGTACTCCGCTGCTCGCTAAAACGCGCTGGAAACGTACAACTGCGACACTGCACCACGTGATGTGCGTTTTCGCCGTCGGCGTACCCCATAGAAAGGGTATCAGGAGTTGCACACTCTTGGGGGGGGGGGTTATATACTCTTACCAAGAGTATAATAACCCCCAAGAGTGTGCAACTCTGCATATGGGGTCTCCGACGGCGAAAACTCACATCACGCGTGTCTCAGGTACATTCGTACTACTCAAGTACGTACAAACGAAGGATAGTGTCCGCGCAATCCGAATATCTGCCATGACCATGCTGGGGATTTGCATACCCGCAGTGAGTTTCTGTCAGAGTGCTTTTTTTATGACAGTTACTCCGCTGCTCGCTAAAAGCGGGCTGGAAACGTACAACTGCGACACTGCACCACGTGATGTGAGCTGCGTACCCCATAGAAAGGGTATCAGGAGTTGCACACTCTTGGGGGGTTATATAACGTTGCTCTTGATAATAGACACCCTTACGGTACTCGTACCTTGATCACCCAAATAGCGTTGAAGCTGCAGCGTATAAACGTTATGGGGGCTGATTTATCGTTGTGACCAACGGTACGTGTTTTGGCCAAATATTGCATAGTCCGTACGCATTTCACCTTGTATCGCGTATATGGTGACAAAAATGGTTGTACCGCGCGAAATCAAAGCTACTCTCGTGGCAACAGCGTACTAAAAATAGCGTGCATCTTGCTAAAGGTCGAACCCAAATCACGGTATTTTCCCCCTTACGATAATACCGTTACAACATAACGTTTTTTGCTAAGGGTGTCTAATACCAGTCCGCCAGTGGGTACTGTACTCATCATGCCATGACACGACACCGTACCTGGGAATAGGGCTTCGCTTACAGTTGGTGATGTTTTGTGTCACAACTACTTTCAAGCAAAGAAAAACATATGCTGCACATCAATGCTTTGATCGAGGGTTTCAGCTGCAAACGTCTAAAAGGAGAAAAGAGAAGATGAGATAGAGAGGGAGAGAGAACAGGTTACGCGTAATTTTAAAAGAAAAAAATGAAAAACTGTTAGAAGTAAAAAAAATTGCCATCAAAGTGATACCTAAATCGGATAGAAAGGGCATTGCTGCAAGTATAGAAATTCAAAATGTGATCATTTCGGCCTCAGTCCTATTCCAACTCGGAGGCTGGGCATTGTTGGAAATTGTCAGGGAATTCATATTTCATTGCAAAGCGTTTCGTGAATAAATCTTTTAAAACTAGAAGTATTTGTCATGATTCTAGAGTAATATTCCTTTGATAATAATGCATATATGATAGAGGAGAGGGAAAAGACGCACAGTACTTGCAGCCACATATGGATGAGCACTTGCGGAGGATTATGCCGACAGATCTCCAATCTGGCTGTGAGATCACAAGATGGTGCAGCCACAGCAGCACTGCTGAGGATACTCGGGTGCATGCACCAGGCGATTGTCACCGTACACCCAGAATCGTCCTGGCTTGTCCTTGAAGGCAAAGTGTGCCTCGCTGACGGGAACAATACGCACACTGTGACGCTGAAAGCAGGGAGAGAGAGAGAGAGAGCACACACCAAGTAAAGTAAATTTGTGTTACTGTCCCGAAAGTCAAGGAACTCGGATGGCTGCTATCAGCCGGCATAAGCTGCACAGGTATAATGGCAAACATCACTTGTGATTATTAATGACAAGGGGTAAGCTCACACAATATGTTTCATCATCGACTTTAATGTAGAACTTCAACATACCACCGTGTCTGTAGTGCATGTATTCGAGAACTCAACGCAGCATCATGACGGTGTGCCGACATTGCCACCGGGTATTGCACTGCCTTCCAACACACTGTGACTTGCATGCACACTTCATATCTGATTATTCCGACATATCCCCAATGCGTACTCTGTGTTAGTCGTCCCTGCGAGAATGTTCCGTAAGCACAACAAGCAAGTGGTTATGACTTACCTGGCGGTGCATCCTTTCCAGTGGGAAAGCACCAGCATGCTGTGTCACAAGGCGTGCAGAGGCGTTGTTGATGTGAGGGTCTGGGAAAGCCGTCAATGGAGCCAGCTGCAGTCGACAAGAGAGTGAATACACGGCAAGGGCTAGTCACATTGGCATAGCACCATCATCAGTGGCATCACTGTACTAATAACTCAGTCTAGACTTCACACATACCATAGCTATGCAGATAGTTACAGTGCTGCCCAATGAAATACAGAAACAGGCTTGCACGCATATGCCACAATCACAGAGTAGGAGTTACGTGCAACCATCAGATTCACATGCAAGGCTGTGGTAGCGCTCTCAATGCTGCTTTACTGAACGTCTGAACTAAACCCAAGCTTTCTTTTCCGCTACAAGAAGGCCAGCAGCCTAGGCACCAGTAGGATACACTGGTGCTAGAGAAGAGTGGTTAGTATAGTCACATGATAGCCAAACCTATCACAATAACAACAAGAACAAGAACAACACCAACAACACCACCAACACCACCACCAACAACACCACCACCACCAACAACAACACCACCACCACCACCACCACCACCACCACCACCACCACCACCACCACCAACAACAAAAACCTCCAACAACCCACAAAACAAGACTTACACGAGGATGATCCTCCTCCATGGCCAGTTTGCCAGCAGCATTGACAATGAGATGAGCTGGCAGCTCTGTGGCCTCCACCACATGGTCATCAATGTGGTTCTTCCTGCACAACACAAACAAGAGACGAGCACATCATGTAAAACTGGGTAATCAACCACAGAGACAACACACAAAGAGTAACAGTCACTGACACTAAAGCCCAGAGTGGAGCAGAGCAGAGCGGTATGTCAATATTACCAGCAAAGCGAATTACATACCAGGTGACGGTTAGGTTGATGAACCACTTCAGGCTGCCATAGGTACGGCACACCGGGCACACAATCTGACCCTGGCCATTGCAGTGATGGCAGCTAAAACAAGGAAAGAAAAGCAGAACAAAACAACAGGAGAGGGAAATGGAAAATGAGCAAGTTTACTATGCAAGTAGACTTTGCCGTGACGACGAATGGAATGTGAAAGAGAAAGGAAGAAAGAATCAAGCAGAACATGCACTCCACTCAGACAGCTATAGAAAATAAAGTACAGTACAACACACAAAGCACTTTAGGCATTCAGACGAAGCAGAGTAATGGCTACCTCTTGCGTCCAGTTCCATGGCAGTGGTGACAACGATCAAAGCGACCATTCTCCCCTGCCTGACCCTGCTGCCAGACCTTGCCTTGTCCACTGCATTGATGGCACACATCCTGATTAGACGATCCAGAGAGAACACACAGGATATGCAGAGCAGCCCAACGGTTAGAACGCACCATGCTGCAATGCTTTGATGTGATAGTAGCAATAGCGAGTCATGCTTATAGAGGTTACGCAAATGCAATCTTTGTATACTGTGTCTTGAGGGGCAAAACAGTGCCTGTGATGTCATTCCATACAAGAGAGATCAGCATAGTTTGTCTACAGGTGCAGTACTGTACAATGCCGACTTAAAGGATGCTACAGCCATTCAGGTTGGATGGTCTGCCAACCACCTGGACAATGTGTTGACCACCTGTACAATGTGCAGGTGGTCAACAGCAGCCCATGCCATGTGTAGCAGCATTTGTGAGTGTCAAGCTGAATATCAAGTATGCAGTGACTGAGTCCATATACACGGTTTACCACACTGTGCCATGAATGTCTCCGCCACACTCGGGCCTCTCGTACCCGGGCACATTGTGAGCGAAAGCCGGTTTGCAATTCAGACCTTAGTGCATGTAATGTACACCCAATAACAACCTCCTGAAGAACATGCATAACACCTGCAGTAATAGTAAAAATACTACTCGGTGGTCTTAGAAGGGCGCCTGGAGTGGAAAAGGGAAGGTCGAGGATGCTTATTTTCAGGGAGTGCTGTCAGTGAACACGTGCACACATCCAAAGGGAACGCTGGAACTCGTTGGGTTGCATGTTGTACTATGGTTCGGGATCCTGTTGCTTTCATATCAGAGTCAAATCAAGCTTTGTGACAAGTTCTATTGAGGTTGGCATGGCAATACGAGTATCATCAGCAGCAGCAATAAACATTGCAACGATATTGTTGCGGAGTGCTGTGATCAACTTACATAGCCACGAGAGTGGCAGTGATGACAGCGGTTGTATCCACGTGCGCCGCAATTATGGCATGGCTGCATGGACACAAGACCAAGGATTCAAAAATTATAAAAAAACATGATAAGCAATCATGTACATGTGTTGTACATCCATGCATCTAAAATATTCACAATGGTGCAAGCAGACCGCACACCACATACACATACACACACACCAGCTTGCAAGGCTCATAAATTGACCGTCACTCTCTTAGCCTGGTCTCCACTACACACCGCAACTTTTAAAATGCATCTGGCACGAGCGAAACTGTAGGTGGACCTAATGGATCCACTGACCTGTAATGTGTCAGTGCTTTATAATAATATTAATAATAATAATAATAATATCTCCACCCCAAAGCTGATCAAAGTGGCTTTTCTAGCCAGTGAACCCCTATTTACTTTTTATTCCCGTAGCTATGCAGAAGACGTTACTTCAGTAACGTCTGGCGCTAGCCAGGGTCCACACAGCTTTAATTTGGTATTTGTTTGTTTGTGTGTTTGTTTGTGTCACGCCTGGCGCTATCCGTATCTGACGGCAAAAAAGCATAGGATGTTATAAATTTTTCAATTCTCCTATTTTTTTCAGGCATATCCTGGGATTCGAACCCGCACTATCGCCCTACATACATTCCCCCATTCACTTCGCATTCATACCCATTCTTCCAAGTTGCTTCACGTTATTATCATGCGTTTGAAAGCCCTATTTGAATATTGCGGGCAGCTAGACGGTGTCATATTACCCTCGATCGTACCTGTCCCGTACCTATCCCCTACCGTACCGTGCCATCAAAGACGGCTGGCCACAATGCATATTCAAATAGGGCTTTCAAATGCAAGATCACAATGTGAAACAACTTGGAAGAATTAGTATGTATGCGAAGTGTATCGGGGGATGCATGCAGGGCGCGCGATAGTGCGGGTTCGAATCCCAGGTTATGTCTTAAAAAAATGATTTTTTTAAAGAATTTATATCATCCCTATGCTTTTTTCGTCTAGGTCATCAAGGCAAAAAAGCATAGCGTAGGGCCCTGAGCTTCCAAGCTCTCTCGTTTTGGTAATGCGGACCATTCAATTCAAGCAGCAGCAGGCTGCATGCTGGTGCAAACAAATACCCTGCACTATCAACTGCAATGGCAGGTACCCAGTAATAGGAGGACATACTCTTAATCCACTGTAACCCGCTAGCATTGGGCAAGGCACAAGTTACCTTCACATAGGCCGTGTGTGGCACTTCCATATCCATCCTGCGATCCTCGAAGAAGCGACCAGGGGGAATGTCAATCTGCCAGGCTTGTGGAGCTATGCCATTCATGCAGCTATCGATTGGCTGGCCTAGAGACACACATACACATTCATGCAGCTATCAATTGGCTGGCCTAGAGACACACATACACATTCATGCAGCTATCAATCGGCTGGCCTAGAGACACACATACACACATGCCGACACAAGCACACATGTGAACACACTTCCATCTGCCCATCGCTGAAGCGATGATGGCGAACAAGCTATGTTACACATGGCAACTTCGGCTGGGATTACACCATTCAACAGCTTGCAAGGCCGATGAACACACACACACGCACACACACACACCCACACACACACACACGCACACACACACACGCACACACACACACACGCACACACACACACACACACGCACACATGTACGCACCAATACACAGACCATGCGTCAGATTGCACTCATGGACAGAGTCATTGTGCAAGAAATGGTAATTCTCTTATAGATCACCTCCAGTCAATCTCAGTTCTATTTACATTTCACTCACCTTTGAATGGTGTGTGCTGCCAAGCTGTGCGGCGACTCTCAGTGAACGTCTCAAGACGATACTACGGTATTGTGGGAAACAGGCAACAAACACCATGCATTGAGATCAAAATACAGCTGAATGCTACTGCATACACTGTCGTACAGAGTCACCAACTACACAAGGCAAAACCCAACTAACACTCTAACAGTACTGCACCAGGCAAGCAACATGAACGAGAGAGAGAGAGAGAGAGAGAGAGAGAGAGAGAGAGAGAGAGAGAGAGAGAGAGAGAGAGAGAGAGAGAGAGAGAGAGAGAGAGAGAGGTGGGGGAGACACCGTGCTGGTCTTACATGAAATGCATTGGTGGGATTGATCTGGCTAATCGCCATATCCCGAGCGGCGCCTTTGCCATAGCAGCAGTGCTGAGACACATGGACCATCAGGGCTGCACGCACTTCGTCCTCGCTGATGCGTGCTACGTTACTGAAATGTATTCACACACACACACAGCGGCAGAGAAACAACACAATCAAACACAGGAGCACTGGGGAGGAGTCTTGCAGATGTAGCCCATCACATTCAAAGGTGTGGCTACAAGAAGTATGCAACCATATCTCTTCCAGTTCCACCCTCATCGATGTTGCGATGGACTAAACATATACTTTGATTCTGCATCAAGTGGTGACAGCTTGAGAAGTTGTGTGGTGCAGTGGCATCATTTCAGGCATGTTAATGACGACTACATAGACTCAACCGATATGCCGATTGGCCAGTTGACTTATCGGTTGAGTCTATAGCAGACACGCGATCAATGCCTCTGTGCCCCCCGCCCCCTTGGACACAGAAATACGCTTGTGGTGGAAGGACTCTGCTAGGCCAGGAGGTAGTGGTGCCATGTGGAAGGATTGTGTTGTAGTCGGACACATGTATGCTCTGCTATTTGCTGAAGTACATATACGTGTACATGTGCAGCATGCTGTCCGCAGATTGAGTATACGTGTACATGTGTGTAGTCTTGACTTACTCATGGATTGATGGCGCCGACACTGGCTTCGGAGCATTGGCTTCGTCATAACTAGGAGGTGCCATGAAGTTATCTACAGTGCAATAGGATAGTACAAGTCATAGGCACACATGTTTCAAGTCTTGTACATGTATTATGATGATTATACCGTACTCAGTAACAGACAGGAGTATGCACGGAGCAAACAAAAACGCAATGCTGCGCTACAGGTGCGCACACAGGGGTTCGGGGCACTACAAAGTTCTACGCGAAGGTTTGTGTGTCTGTGTGTGTACGAAAGTACTACGGACGTTTGCACTATTTCTCTGATGCTACACAGAACCGGCATTTCCACACCGTACACGGGGGCAAATGGGGCGCGTATGCACAGTCCACAAAATCTGAAGCGTAAATCAGGAGATCCCACACGCTCCCAGTAGCCAGTGTAAATACATGCTTGGAGATCCCACACGCTCCCAGTAGCCAGTGTAAATACATGCTTGGAGATCCCACACACTCCCAGTAGCCAGTGTAAATACATGCTTGGAGAAAATAACCTCACGTGGATTATGTTTTTGTTTATTTTGCTGTGGCTCTTAAACCCTACCTTCACTAAATCCGACACCCTCATAACCAGCCACCTTCTCCATGTGTTCGAGGAGAGGTGCTGCAGCCGTACCGCCCTGCATGGCTGGACCTGCTTCCTGGGCACTGGCTGCGGGTGCAGAGGCTGGAGGAGCACCACCAGCAGTTTGATATCCACCAGCACCTGGTTGGCCGCCAGCAGGTGGGTACGGCGCTGCTGCTACTGGGGCTGCCGCAGGAGGGTAAGGCGTCTGTTGGCTGCCACCGCCTCCAGCCAAGAGAGGTTGCTTTTCTGCATGAGACATTCTGATCTCCAAAACTCACAGCAACGCCAATTTATCAAATGGAAAACCTCGTGGGTACAGAGCGCGCGATTCTGGAGAGCACTTCTACAGAGCTAGATTATGCCGGCATTCAGCAAGGTAGTCGACAAACAACTGACCACTCTCTGACTGCCCCGCGCGGCCTCGGGACTTCAAGTTAGTTCTTTGTAAGGAGCCACAACTACAAAGTAACAAAAATGCAACAGTTACATACACTCCCCAATTCCTTGCACGTGTCTGAAATGATAATCATGACGTCAAGTCACCTGTACTGTGCAAAAAGGAAAAAAATGTGGTCTGGACTCTGGTCGTCTGCGGGTCTGGACCAGGGCCGGCAGGGGCAGGGAGTCGTCAAATAGACCAGCTACATGTATGTCCAAATGAATTGTTGCCGGAAGTGCTATCCTTCATGCCCGTTGTGTCCAAAAATGGGAATGATCCCACTCAAAGTCTTTGGAAAGTGTCTTGAATCATGTCCTACTTTCATAGTATTTTCAGGATTCAAATATTTTTGGTGTGTCATTTTCTAACAAATTTGTAAAATGGCATCACAAACTGGGATTTGTGATGCCATTTTTTTCCGAAGTGGCACTCGGAGAGAATTAAATTATATGCACCAAATTTTCTGGTCAATGTTGATCTACGATAAACTGGCTCTCATTTGCCACCACCCATGTTTCGATACACCCATCCGGAGCAGAGCCGGAAACAGCCAGAAGAAAAGCAAATTTTACACATTAATTAAAAAATGCCAAAATGAAAATTAATGTTAAAAAAAGAAACGTTGTAAAAATAACGGAACTGGTTCGGATGTGATATGCAGCGCTATGGGAATGGGTGTGTCCACCCGAATTCTTTTCACAGATGAAGCCGCAGGAAGCCTCAGCCCTTCTTCAAAAAAAAGCCAAATCACCTCATACAGTCTAGTCATACAGGCATGCCCCGCCGACACGGCCACGCGCCAGATGTGGAATTGTGGATATCTATTCTTATCGATGCATCGGCGTGGCGGCTATTGAGTACAGTCACTTATACATGTAAATTAGTTACACAATACATGTACATGTACATGTACATGTATGTATGCCAATGGCAATCATGAATGATAATACATTAGTACAGCAGCACATTGTTTTCTGAGAACGAAAACTGGTGACATTCACACTGTCACAGTCTGCGGCCGACGCCGGCTTCATTGAGGCGTGGTAACTTCCGCGTCATCTAAAAGACTCTTGTTGTTTCTGCATGAGGAAGGAGAAACAAGCCGGAAAATTCTGCAAAGGCAGCATGTGGCTTACGGAAGCCCTCTACCGGTTTGCCTAAGCCCATTCATGGTACCGATGCAGCGGACTACGATTTGGATAAAGCCAATCTTCTAGCCGACCTTTTTTCGGCTTACAGTACAGAACCTCAGTCTAAGTCATCATCATTCACTGCATTGCCCACTCCCTGTCTTCCACCTACGAAGGACCTACTACTGTACTAGTATTCCAGATGAAACCTTTGTCAACTGCATCCATTTTCAATGCTTTAATTCGCCTCCCCGTGCGAAGCTCCGCAGCTGGCGTGCTGCCCAACCGTACCCTCCGGGAACCAGCTGAAGCCCAATCCCTGACTGAACTTCTCAACCGTTGCATCTTAGGGTTGGTTCACATATCGCCGGTACGCACCGGGAGTCACCGGCGGTGGGCTTCTTGCAACCTATCCCGGCACATTGCGATTGTGTGAACCAGTGCAGTCGTAACAAAATCATACGGTAAAATATCGCAAGGGACCGCCGGCAAAGTTGGACAGTGCCCAACTCTTGCGATCTGCCCCGGCGCCGATCCCGTACAATTTTGACCAAAAGTGGTTTGTGAACCGTTCGCGCCGGTGATCGCCGGCTGCCGGGAGCCAGACTTCGTCAAAATATCAAACCAATACTTGTCCTAAATTTTCCTAAATTGAAGCTAGAGAGGAGGTCCGTTCGCCATTCTTGTAGTCGCTTCAAGCTGGCAAATAAGTCAGCATACCAGCCCGTCCTTCTCGGATGATCTGCTTGACCATTGTGCAACTTATGAGACAAATACAATTGAAACAAATAAAAAATATGATGGATACATTGGCAAGTTCTTGTGACTTCACCAACGTTTGCAAGCATAATTTCGACACAATCGCTTACTAGACTGCAATAAAATGTGTAGAAGTATTTTCATGATCTCCAGTAAAAGGTAGCACCGAGTGGCCATCACCAAAAGACCTTGAACTACTGAAGAAACAAAGAATTCAAGCTTCAATTGGCAAACCTGTCGTAGCATTTGGGCACATTCTGTACTACTTTGTAGTAGATTTGGTACTCGAACCGTATGCGCAACGGATCGGGAGCTGGCTTACCGCCGATGTCTTGCGGCGCCGATTTTGCTTATGTGAACCAACCTTTACAGTGTCTTACCGTTGCATCTTGCATCGTGCTTCAGTACGCACTGGCAGCCTCTTGTCAGTCTTGAGACGTTGAGTGGAAATCAGTGGTTAGACATTCCGGCCCTGTACTGTACAAGGGTAGGGGAATTCCCCTGTACTGTACAAGGGTGGGGGAATTCCCCTGTACTGTACAAGGGTAGGGGAGATGCCTTTGACCCGCTGAGTTACCCACCCATTTCCCTCCTTCATGGAGTCGGTGGTAAACTCTTTGAATCAACCATTAGTCGTCAGTTCTACTTGTTTCAACGGTAGAGGTCAATAGCTTACTATCTCCGGGCCAGTTTGGCTTTCGGCGCCACCGATCAACTGTTGATCAGATCCTATGTATCGCTACAACAGTTGCCGATGCACTTGATGTCAAATCACTGTGTGATGGGGTGTTTCTCGACCTCCTCGAAGGCACTCGATCGAGCTAGCCATGCAATCATTTTACATGCCCTTTCTGGCTGGTGCAGCTCGTCTGCCAGTGACTGGGTTCGGGACTTTATATCTGGTCGTGTCCTGCGTGTTCATGTTGGCGAGACAGTTTCAATGTTGTCTCCCTTATCTCAGTGCCGGAGTTCCCCCAGGGTTCACATCTTGGTCCACTTTTGTTTAAACATGAGCATAGATTCCCTTGTCAGTGTACAGTGGTCCCTCTATTCCGGCACCATTTGTGCCACGAAAATCTGCTGGATTAGGGAGGGTGCTGGATTAACAAATCTGATTTACTGCTGCAATGTGCATGAAGAGGACATTTTGGCTACTGAAAATTGTGCTGGTTTATCGAGGGTGCTGGATTATAAAGTGCCGGATTAGAGAGGGACGACTGTACACTGTAGATGGGGGATGACTCTATTTGCTGCCTGTTTTCTTCCCTTCGAGAGAAACGGTGATATTCGCCACCTTTGTCGATCTCACTTCCACTGTAACAGAGTCGCTCGATCGTGTCCATGATATGGAGGGAGAGGCTAAGACATAAAAAGTACATAATTATGATGCCGGAGGTAGTTCTGATAGAAACAAGGCATACTATGTTTGGTGAAGCGCGTCACGTAGTGATGCCAAACAGCATACTAGTAGTAGTTAGAGGACACAATCATAATAGTATCGCCTCCAAGCGACATCGTCGCTCCAAGCAGCAGAAAGAGAAGCTAAGGTCCATCTCTATGAAGAGGAATAGTGAGCAGCTAAAAAGGCACAGGACTTACCAAGGCCATGGACAACCGTGACTGCTATCCTGCGTCGTGCCAATGTTGTGAAGGCACTGCATGATGCTAAAAGCTGCAGTCGCGCTAATGAAACTTGACCATATCCGAGCATTCCTGTGGGCAAACGATGCCTTCACTTGGCCTTTGCAAGACAGCTCAACTATCTTCTCACGTCTCCGATAAGCGGTCTCGTCTCTTCCTCTCCTATATTCCACGTACGGGTACCCATCCGTAATAACTTAAAACCACTTTGGATTTACTTCGCGAAGCCAGTATAATCGGGAATAGCGTCCATGATTGAGGCCTTCGCTTTCTTGTTTTTGGGCAACCTGCCCATTGGAATCTGCGAAGTAAAATAAACAACAACAACAACAACAACAACAACAACAACAACAACAACAACAACAACAACAACAACAACAACAACAACAACAACAACAACAACAACAACAACAGCAGCAGCAGCAGCAACAACAACAACAACAACAACAACAACAACAACAACAACAACAACAACAACAACAACAACAACAACAACAACAACAACAACAACAACAACAACAACAACAACAACAACAACAACAACAACAACAAGAGAAAGGATTACGTATCCGGAGCTTACGTTTTTCAGTGACATTCGGTGACAGCATCAGCGGTAAAAATTCAACTATATACTACTTCAGCGAAATGTACCCCCGAATGTGTTCGGCACCGAAAAATCAAACGGTGAAACCATGCAACCAGACGCGAATTGATAGATTAAAGGTCCTTGCGAGCTGGCTTTCGACGAAAGGACTGCTGGAGCCAGTGGAGGTCAAATGCCTAACTGACCGGACACCCTCCAATCAATGATCACCCCCCCCCCCCCCCCCCGCCCCCTGCACCGCGATCCAAGAATGGAATCGCCTCACCGCTGCATGCTTCGTGAGCCGTGACAGACACTCCCACCTTGTTGTTGTTGTTGTGTTTATTTTAATTCGCAAACCAAACGGGCAGATCTGCCCAATGAAAAGGTGGCAAATGCAGATAGAAAGCGGTAATAAATGAAATTGGGGACTGATGTAATTAGGATAGAGGTGGAGAAAAACTAAGCCAGCTGATCATCAAACAGGACGGTTGGTACTCTAGGTACTAAGGGTGTGCGGGATCATGCTGGCGCGGAACTGGCGGAGCGTGGAGATGGCACGTATATCGCTGGGTAAGGTGTTCCACAGCTGGGCGCCCCGGAACGCGAGGCAACCCTTGCCGAACCTGGTAAAAACTGGCGGTTGGCGCAGACCCATGGTGGAGTGCAACCTAGTTGGGCCAGCTGACGAAGGAACTAGGAGGGCTTGCAGATCAGAACTTGCGTGCTCATTCCGAGACCTCCAGACCAGAACGATGAACTTCTGCCTGAAAATCTCGGATACTCTGTAGGTGTCCAATTGCAGCAGGAGGGTACGCGCGGAGGTGTGATGCGAGAGTCCGAAAACCGCCCTTGCCGCCCGATTCTGCATGACTTGTAGCCGATCCAATTGGTTGGCAGTAAGAAGCGGGGAAAA